ATTAAGTTGATTGATTATTTGGCAATTGTTTATTTAATCTTGGAAATTTCCCGGAATTAATTATTTATTTTTTTTTTCCGAGAAATTATTTCTTTTTTCGAGATTTTTTTTTTTTTCGAGAAATTATTTCTTTTTCCAAGAATTTTTTTTTCGAGAAATTCTTATTCTTTTCCGAAAAATTATTTTTTCGAGAAATTTGGTTTCCGAGAATTTTTTTTCGTTCTGAGAATTCTTTTTCCGATAATTTTTTTTTTACCTTGTTTAATTTTTAAATGTTTGCATTTTGATAATTTTGCGATTCTTTTTCCGAAACTGTCCCTCTACACTTTCACTGCGTAGGTCTGCAAATTCCGTTCTTTTTTTTCTTCTTTTTTTTTTTCAAAAAAAAAACAAAAACAAAAAAAAACGGCATTTTTTTCTTTTGCAACCTACTCCTACTCTGAGTTATAAAGACCCTTCTTTTCTGATTCTCTGCAGTCCGAGCACCGAAGGTTCACATTTGATTTCTGCATCACCTTCGGTACTCAGTGGGATTGGACAGACTTTTTCCGAATTTTAAAGTTTTGTTTTTCTTCTTTTTGATTAGGAAACTATTCAAATTGGGATCTGTCCGATCCTTCCCACTTGTCTRCTTCCTACCTATTCCTCCCCCTCCAGTCTGGGTACTGGGCCAGTCCATCAGATTGGCCCTCGAGTGACTCTTCAGACTTCGGGCACAGCAGTGCATGACACTGCTCACTCGATCACAGACCAAGGCCATGGACCGGAAGGCGGGAGAATCCCTCCTGGCCTATGAGGAATGCCTGGCGGCATTCATTCAGGAGGCCAACGATAGGGCCGCCGCCGCGGCCAAGGAACGTAATCGGCTCGAACAAGAGGAGGAGGCCAAGCGACAGAAGGAGGAACAGGACCGACTTCGTCAAGAAGAGGCAGACCTGCAGGCGGCAGCCGAACACCGGTCACGCCAGCGGGAACGACTGTTCACGCGGGAGACCGTGATCGGCGATGAGGCCGCACATTGGGTGGAAGTGACATGTGCAGACGGGGCCTCGGAGACTGAGAAAGGGTTGTCAGCCCTTGCGCAGGTCTCCCACGACCTCGTGGCCACCTGCGCTCTGCAGCAGGAGGAAATCCTTCACCTGCAGCAGACCGTGGACCAGATGCTCGCACGGCTGCAGGCGTTGGAGAAACAGCCAGCTGCTGTAGCAGCCGCAGGGCCTTCCACCCTTAGCACCCGTGTGCAAGTTTTGGAGGATGACGTCAGCAACATCAAGCGTGTGCATCAGCACTTCCGGACGTCGCAACAAGCAACGAACTTGCAGTTGGAGACGCAGGTCCAGGCTGCTGCCACCGTGACGGCCGCCGCCGCATCCTCCCGGCGCCCACCCAAGCTGGATGACATTCCCGTCTTCTGCGATCAGTCCAAGACGGAACCGATCCCGTGGTGGCGCCAGTTTACTCTCAGGCTCGACATGCACCATGTCCCGAACAACGATCGACATCCGTGCTTGTWCCACCGATCTGGTGGTGCGTGTCAAGCATGGCTGGACAACATCTTGACCAGCCACGGCGTAGCAGTGTCGGAACTACACACCAAGCTCACTTGGCAGGAGTTGACCGACGCCTGGCACAAGCGATTCCAAGTGGAGCCGCCCGACCTGCAAGCGATGGACAAGCTCAACAAGCTCCATCAGAACACGCTGCTCAGTCAGGACTGGATTACCGAGTTCCAAAGACTCGCCTCCACACCTRACCTGCCGCTCGCATTCTGCGCCATCAAGCACGTGTTTATCATGCGCTCGTGTCCAGCTCTACAAAACGCGCTGACGCAAATTGCAAAGACACTCGACACATCTTACAAGCTTTTCAGCACAGCGTCACGGATCATTCTCACGAATATCGAAGCCCGCAACGCCAGCCGATCTTCCGCGACGACGAGCGACACCCAGCCCAAGCCAAAGGTGGCTTGCATTACTTCTACCGAGGCTGCAACACCAAACGAGGGTGAAGTGTTGGCAGCTGCCCGGGATGGTGGCCGACCGCGCAACAACCACGGCCGCGACAAGACGAAGACTCAGTCCACCTCTACACCGAGGCCCGGATCAGCCGCCGACGAACCTTGGGCACAATACGGACTCTCGGCGAATTCTTATCGCAAGAGACTCAAGTACCGTTACTGCCTTTGGTGCAACAGCACCATCCACGATGCTGCACATTGCCCCACCAAAGGGAAACCCCGTCAGGGAAAGTAGGCGCCGCCGAGGGTGACTCGACACCTCCCTCGACGCCATCGAAAGCGGTTGTGCGCACGACCGCCCTTTCTTCGGAGGCATATGCGGATGCCGGGAGTCTTCCACTTTCGTTCGAAGACTTCGGTGCCCGACTCGTTCCTTCACTGGATGCTTCTCAAGGACA